CGTGCCTAATCTTTGTGCTCACATTCTAATCTCTTAAGTAGAATAATTTCCTTCTGTCTCTTCTGCTCATGACCTCCTGTTTATTTTCCCTCTTCTTTAAAGCCTTCCCTTATGCTCACTTCAGCTGCTACATGTCAGCTCTTGCGTATCACAGTGTATCGTAATTGTGTATCTGTCTTTGAAGCAAGAATTTGTGTTTCCTTGCGTATGGTTGGCACTTGATAACCATTTTGTGAATTCATAAATGATTGAAGATAGGTAGGAGTTGGAATTTTACAAAAATTGTTGGTTTTTAAAATATCAGTAGAATTAGTTTATAAAACTTGGCTTTCTTATGGATTGTTTTACAGTAGCTGTCCTGGCTTGTATATGACAGAAGTAAAGAAGAATGAAAGCGGAAAACGGACATTAAAAGCATCTGTGACTTCGTGTGTATTTGAGAAGACTGCCTCGCTGGCTGGTGGTCTCCTACACGTGAATGGCAACAGCAGTTTAAGTGAAGGAGATCAAGGTTGTGGCAGGTAAAACCTACAAATTCTTTATTTCTAGGTGAAGACTTATTAGCGGTGATTACCTTCTCTGGAAATAGAACCGCAGCATATAGCGCAAAGGCCAGGGCAAGAGAATCCTCAACTGTATCGGAGGAACTCTGCCGGAAGGTTAAGATGGGGACAAGTGCCTTTGACCAAAAGTAGTTTCAATAAAACATCCCCATGGAAGCCGGGCTGCAGTGAGTCAGTGTGAACAGCCCCTCAGAGGACATTCCCTGGGAAGGCAGGAGAGGACTGGGCGATAACTGAAGGGGAACGTGGGGCTCGTGGGGGTTCCCTTTCTTTTTTTAATGATGACATGGTAGTTTGTAGAGCACGTCTGTGTGCTGTTGGATGTGATTCCATAGAAGACGTGTTTTTCAATTTCATCTTGTTTGCATTTCTGGTATTAGAAAGTGTATTGATTGTACTGTGTTATCTTTAAAATAGAGTAGTAAGCTTCTATTCGTGTATAGTTTTGTTGTAAGGTCTTACTCATTAGTTCTGAAGCATAATATTCTTATACAATTGAACATATTCAGATAATGACTTTAAAGTTACACCATTGTCCATAGATTGTTAAAAATTGTATACTCATAATAACTATACAAACACTTAGGCCATACTGAATAGGGTTTAATCATTCCTTGATGACTCTAGACTTTATAGTGTCCTTGACAGTATCATCATGAGTGGCTGTGGTTTTTGTATGCTATTGTAAAATACCAGATTATATTAACAGTATCTGTTTAGATTCTAGGAAGAACGGGAAGGTTTTGTTTATATACAATAGAATAATAAACTATTAACAATCTATCACAGATGATTACTTTTGGATTACTAAGTTCTAAATTAAAAAAGCCATCATGCTCCATAAGGACATGTCAAATGCATGAACAAACAGCTGAATGGATAATGAACGCCTGCTGAGTAATGTCTTTAGCAAAAGCAAATCTTTATTAAAAGTAGATTTCCAGGATTGCCTAGGTCTAAAGTCTTTTTATTTTGAAAAAATAGGTGTTAAGATTCAGAAATTATTATTATTTTAACAGTTTTTTCTTGAGTCATAGTCGTCTTGCAATGTTGTGTCAAATTCCAACGTAGAGCACAATTTTTCAGTTATACGTGAACATATATTCATTGTCACATTTTCTTTTTTGCTGTGAGCTACCATAAGATCTTATATATATTTCCCTGTGCTATACAGTATAATCTTGTTTATGTATTCTACTTTTTGAAATCCCAGTCTGTCCCTTCCCACCCTCTGCCCCCTTGGCAACCACAAGTTTGTATTCTATGTCTATAAGTCTGTTTCTGTTCTGTATTTGTTTTGCTTTCTTTTTGTTTTTAGATTCCACGTATGCGTGATCTCATATGGTTTTTTCTTTCTCTTTCTGGCTTACTTCACTTAGAATGACATGCTCCAGGAGCATCCACGTTGCTACAAATGGCGTTAGGTTGTCGGTTCTTACGGCTGAATAGTATTCCGTTGCATAAATATACCACATCTTCTTTATCCAGTCCCCTGTTGAAGAACATTTAGGCTGTCTCCATGTCTTGGCTATTGTAAATAGTGCTGCTGTGAACATTGGGGTGCAGGTGTCATTTTGAAGTAGGGTTCCTTCTGGACATATGCCCCAGAAATTATTATTTATAATTATACCTAGATACGGAATAATAATAGAGAGTCATTTACTCCATTAGTTAAACATACTTAAAAATAAATATTACTTTCTTCGCATATTGTGAAATGCAAGTATTGAAGCCAGATTGCCTGGGTTGGAATTCTGGGCAGACATAGGGGCTTCGACAAGTGACTTGGCTTTTCTCTGCCTCATTTTCTTCCTGGGTAAAGTACCTAATGTATTACCTACCTCCCAGGATTGTTGTGAGGATTAAAATGTCTTTAAGACATGTAAAGTGCTGATAATGATGCACAGCAGTTGCACACTAAGTCCTCAAAAAAGCTAATATGATTATTAGAAAGGGTTTCTTTCATATAAGGACTTAAGTAATACTTTCCAAATGGGTTTTATTGTCATAAAAGCCAGTTTTTATTAAAAAAGACAACAACAAGAGAATCCTGGTATATTTTTTCCTATCAAATAATACAAGTAATGTTAGTTCTTCCTTTTCCTTTGCTTGTCCGCTTGATCTAAATTTAATACTTTGTTAATAATATAATTGATATACTTTCTTTGTCCTTTAATGTTACTGTTTCATTTAATCTCTTTTATTGAAAATTAATTATCAATGCAAAGACTTTATATAAAAAATAATAGATGTACATATTTCTTGTATTTTCAATATTTAGTATTTGGCTTAAATGAAGTGCTTTTTTCTTTTTTCAGGTCTTCAAAGAAAACGTCTGCTAAAAAGGACCAGGTAGAGTAAAATACTAATTATAAAAGTATTTTCCTGTAGTAAAAAAATTTATAAAAGATAGAGTGGAAAAACAGAAAATCCTCCGTTGCTGTAGAGACATTTACTTAAAAATAATTTAGAAACACTATAGATTAAGTTAGCCTTTTGAGAAAAATCGGTTCTTTCGAGAAGTGTCTGTGTTTTTGCTCTCATAAAAAGATGGGTATCTATCACCTCTGTACACTGAGCATGTTTTATAACTATGTTGGAGACACTGTGAAATAGCATTATTTATTTGTAGGTCAAAGAGCAGATTAATTCTGTGGATGGCCTCGATGGCTTAACTCTGTCACTGGAAACAGCTTCCAAGGATTGTGAGTCGCTCTTCCCTAATTATAAGAATACCCTGAGGCTAATCGAACAACTTGGCCCGGAGAGTAAAGGTAGGACCCCCGTATGACTGCACAGCCTTTTTAAGTATCTCGTGGTAAATAACGTGTGCCCACCTAGTACTGCCCCAGGGAGCACGGCTACATTACAGTCCGCTGCGTGTCAGCAACCTGCTCTGTGTTGAAGCAGAATCAGACGTGTTGTGCGCTGCCAGCCAGGGGCTGTGACCATTCCCACTCCCTGTGCTTTCTGTTGACTCTGCTGCTCCTGTGCCTTCACCCAAGGTCAGGTTATCATTACTTCCCTCCTAGAACACTGAAATCACCTCAGGACTTTCTTCTATGCTGTCCACCTCCTGGAACCTTGGTCTACACCACAACCATGATTACTAGATGGTTTTTAAAATTCAGATCTTTGTTACCCCCTTGTTTAAAATCCAGCTACTGCTTCTCGCAGCTCCATGGTTAAAGGCCACACTCCTCTGGCTTCACCTTGTTTCCTTTTATTACCCTTCTTTCCACGTGAATTTTAGAATCGGCTTGTTAATGTAAAAAAAAAAAAAGAAGAAGAAGAAGAAGAAGAAGAAGTCTGCTAGTGTCCTGGAAATTAGATGTAGATTATGTTGAATCTGTAGATTAATTTGGGGGGAATTGACTTCTTACCAATACGGAATTTTTAACCCCGAACAAAGTTTATTTCTCCGTTTACATAGGTCTTCCTTGATTTTCTCACTAATATTTCAGAGTTTTTAGTGTCTGGGTCTTTCCGTCTTTTATGAGTTTACCTGTATTTCTTATTTTTCAGTGTGGTTATAAGTAGTATATTTTTATTTGTTTGTTTGTTTTAAAATAATATGTTTTGAATTTTAGTTTCTGATGATAGAAATACAGTTGATGTCTGTATACTGACTGTGTGCCCTCCAACCTGACTGAACACATTTATTAGTTCTAGTAGCCTTTTTATGGATTCTCTCAGATTTTGTACGTAACCAAAGGTGGCCAAGATTGTTCTTCCTTCAGCTACTGTCTTACTAAAGATAGTTCACATTTAAGACTTGCAGCCAATAAATACATTCTCTGTTACAGCTAATCAGCTCTGTCACCGTTGCAAT